GAGGTCAGGTGAGGCTAAAGATCAACCACATATCAAATAGCAGAAAGAAAAACCATATAAGTAGGCTTTTAGAAAATGTGGAAAGAGTCTCCAATGTTAGTGCGTTATAACAAGCAAATGTAAAGCTGTAAAACTGACGTTTTCTGACACAGGAAAGTCTTTCGGATGGATGGCTTTGCAGTTTCTCCTTAATGTAACAAGTTGCAATTTTTTTGTCTTATTAACATCAAGAGAAAATAAGAGGCTGGTGAGGGAGCTACTGTTTACAGCTGTTTTTGGCGCAAGTGATAACGTGAACCAAGATGTTTCGTGGACTTTCCACAACATTAAACGTAACTATAAACTGAGAATGTGGTACTGTTTAATAAATAAACATTTGTTAGCATTGCCAAATTGCTGTAAGATAAGGCGATAAAACACTTTCAGGTGTGCTGTTATAAGAAAATAATGATAACTGTAACTCCGCTTTGTATCACGCTACCCCATCGTTGATTATTTTCCTATAACAGCACACGTTAAAGTGTTTTATTCTTTACATATTGTGTGTACCCAGTTTATCCGATTGTCACTATGTATCATGTGAAGAGAGTACGCTGCTTATGTTTATAACGTATAAAGATAAAAAGGGCAGTAAATCTTTCCCATGGAAAAAGGAGATGTAAATAAGAACAAAAAAAAAGTTCTCATTTGCGTAACCCCAACCCCGCGAGCTCTTATTTATTAATAGTAATACGATCACTGTGGGAACAGGTGATACAATACTGGAATTCAGGTCAAATATTGTCTGTGTACTTTCTTTAAACCGCACCACTGTTCCAGGAGGAGAAGAGAAGACAGCACAGTTCAATAAAAACAGAGAACAGAATGGAAAGTGGGACAAACTGGAAGGAGGAAAGCTCACCTCCAATCTGTGGAGCTCTGATGCGCACGGCATTCGCGCTGCCTTTCAGTCGATGTCTTGCACCCTGAGAAACAGAGGCTATCTTTTATAATCGAGAATAAATGAGAATAATAAGCTCCTTTTTATGTTTTAGTTACTGAAACCCACCACGGGTGCATTTCGAAAGCCTTTGACGGACTGAAAGATCCCGCCACCGATGGCTCCCATTGTGAATGCACCCCCGCAGTCGTCTACTATTCTCCATGGACTAAACACACACACACACACACACACACACACACACACACACAAAGTAAGAGCATACACACATATATATGATACTACAGGTTGCAATTCTGCATCTCCTAGGTTACTTATTCACTCATATATATGTATCTATACTCATTTCCTGTTTTATCAGATAAACCTACCATACAGGTGTGCTTTGTATGCACTTTGTTACCATGTACAGTCTCGGTTATGAATGTACAGGGATCACCCGATATTATACTCAGCAGTAAGGCGGATCAGGCTGTGTGTTGACAGGGTATGAGTGTATCAGGTGCAGCAGTGTTGCTGCGACTTTACACAGCTCCATTTCACTGCTGTGAAATTGGTGGATGCTCCACATAAACAAACTACAAATAAAAACCACGTTTACTGTGAGAACTTTTGGAAGGAGTCTACAGTGTCAGCAGGAAAGTTTTCAGGATGGTAGGTTTTGCGGTTTCACTGTAACATGACAAACTACATTTTTTGTCTTATTACCTTTAAGAGAGAGGAAAAAGAAAGGCTGGTGAGCAAACAGCAGTTTATAGTTATTGTAATAACACGCCTTGCTAAGAACGTTAAACTTAACTATAAACTGATAATATATTTTTTTCTCAGAAAAACAGCTCTGAGAAATGCAATCATGTACCATAGAAAAATTACACAACATGACAGTTAATATATAAAAGTTAGTTTTAAAAATGGACTTATCATACAACAATGTGAAGGAACCATCCATCCATTTTCCGTACCGCTTATCCTACACAGGGTCACGGGGATCCTGGAGCCTATCCCAGGGAATTCGGGGTACAAGGCGACAAGGCGGAGGAACACCCTAGACAGAGTGCCAACCCATCGCAGGGCACAATCACACACACACATTCACACACTACGGACAATTTGGAAACACCAATCAGCCTACAATGCATGTCTTTGGACTGGGGGAGGAAACCGGAGTACCCGGAGGAAACCCCCGAAGCATGCAATCTCCACACACACACCAGGGCGGAGGCGGGATTCGAACTCCCAACCCTGGAGGTACATAGCTACCTCTGTGTGTTGATAGGATATGAGTGTACAGGTGCAGCAGTGCTACTGGGATTTTAAAAACCTCTATTTCACTGCTATGAAATTGCACAGATGAGCTAAAGTGGGTAAGTATCCTAATAACCTCCACTGTATGGTAGCTTTATCTGATAAAAAATGGCCAGTGAGTATATATCAGCAAGCAGAATACCTGTTAAATATTAAGCACACGGATACTAAGATATCAAGGCCACCAGCTGGTAATGAAACACGACCCTGAAATGTTTATTACTGTTAGATAACAAACACTAACAGCTAATGAGAGCTGAAGAAAAAGTAACCCTTTCTATTTTTTTTTTTAATTTAGTTTTCCTTCCAATGAAATGTCGATCTGTTTGATAAATAAAGCTGTCGCGTATGTCATACTTTACCAAGGTTCACGGGCATACTCCTCCATGATAAACTACCGACGGGAAGCATCACTGTGACGCAATATTTTAGCGACGCTACGTTGCTGAAGTATAGGTCCGTATTGGGGATGTAGTGCACTAAGTAGTGTACACGCTACTGGAGATTTCTTATAAGTCACACTCTATGTAGTACACTGATATAGGGAGTTGAGAGCGGATTGGGATTCAGCCGTAGTGTTTAAACGCCAATTACCAGATAATACATTTTTGTAGGGGTTTTCTAGGCTTTAAATAACATTTAAGTTTACATTTTATATAAAAAATATATATTTACGCTAAATAAAATGATAAATATAAAATAATAAAAATAAAAAATACAGTCGCCAAAAAAGGGGGCGGAGGGTGACGTCAATTTTCTGCGTCAAGCGAGGTATTTTTTTCGGTTGAATGAGACGTTAGGAGCGTCTACTTTTAAAGGTAAATGTAACCATATTTTCACTTGTTATTGTTTTTAACTGTGTATAATAACGTTCACCTGTTATAGTGTTTAAAACTACATTACTTCTATATTGCAAGTAGTAATATATAAGCCATATAGCGGTAATATTATGCTAGCTAAGCTAACGCCTTGGCTGGAGCTGCGTAGCTAAACCCAGTGTGAGTGAAATGTCTGATTATTTGCTCTCCAGATGCCTCTGCCACCAGCTCTCCTGGCTCGTCTTGCCAAGAGAGGAATCGTCAAACACTCAGACCATGGTAAGATGTTTACTAGCTAACACACCTCCAGTTTACACACACACACACACACACACACACACACACACACACACTGACTGGATATCTGTCTGTTTCTTGAACTGCAAGAAGCTGAAGAAGAAATCATTGCTGAAGACTATGATGACAACAATGTAGACTATGAAGCAACAAGACTTGAAAATCTTCCCACCAACTGGTACAAAGTGTTTGACCTGAACTGGTAAGTACATTTACAGCATTTGGCAGACACCCTTACGCAGAGCAACTTACATTTACTCATTTATGCAGCTGAGCAGCTGAGGGGTGAGGGCTATGGTGGAATTTTCTTAATCAGAGTATGATTATTATATAATCCATCAAGTCCAATCAAGATATAATCAGAGATGATGAGAGAACTTGTACATTTTAATCATGGAGAAGGTATGACTTTGTGTTGTATCAGCATTTACAACATATGATTTTACAAGTACATTCGTCTGTGTGAATCAACATTAAGTATGTATCTCTTTACCTTTATGATCTGTGGCCACGTCGCGTTGCGATCTCTTAAACAGTGTATTGGTAAAATATTAATATTAAACATTTAAAAAAAAAAATAGACTAGCTGAGCTTGCGCCACAATTAATGAGAAGGTGTAGGGCTATTGAAACAATTGTGGTGAGAGTGTTTAAAAGAAAAAATGAGAAAACTCCACCTTATGAGCTCACTGTTCTAGCGTTGTATAAAAGCATGGGCCATGACTGTGTAAATCAGATGATCTAGACATCTCGGCTTTTTTGGTTGTTTCCACGAAAGGGCCTTGCTCAAAGGCCCAGCAGTGGGACTGGGATTTCAACTCCCGACTTACCGATCAGTAGTCCAACATCATAACCACTGAACTAACACTGCCTTCAGTACTTCAGTACTGTAGTTCATAAGGTTCAGGTCTGTTTTTTTTTCCCCCTATATAAAGACTTCCAGAGGTTTAACAGCACACTCATAAGCAACTCAGCCATACTCTCGTGCCACTGAATTCTCAGTTCTGATTGGTCCGGAGGTGATTCATTTTCTAAAACAGGAGCTCTAAGTGGAGTTCCAGCTGTAATTTAAACCACAGGTTTATATGAATGCACTTCTTCAAATATCTATTATTTATATAGTAACAGCTAACACGGAAAGCGCCGTACGGACAAGTTAAAAATGTGCAATTGTTGAAAGGTTTTCTGGGAGAATTTGTTGGAAGGAGTCTCCAGTGTTCGTACTTACCTCGTAGGTAAGCTGCAACTTAAAGATCACAGCTCGGGACACGGGAAAGTCTTCAGGGTGGATGGTTTGGTGGTTTCGCACTTAATTATTAACTTCACAAAAGAGGAAAAAAGAGAGGCTGGTAAAGGAACAACTGTTTATAGGTGATCTACCGTAAGTGAGAACAGGAATTAACTTGTTGCACGGATGTTCAGTAGGGTGCAACATAACTAAAATGGATACAAAGTATGGCATGTTGTTCATTAAAAAAATAAAAATTAATAAAATTCTTCAGCTCTATGTTTGATTTGAGATTTCGCAGTCTGTATGCTGGGGAAAAAGAAGCCTCAGGGAGGCGAAAGCACATTTTGAACTGATTTGGAGTTGTTCTTGAGTGCTGCACTAATTAATTTATTTTGCATATTTGACTTTAATTTGTGTATTTGTGTAACATCTTCTTTTATTGTCAGGACAGTGATGAGCAAAAAATTGTTCAGTTAAATTATGTTAAAACACTAAAGGTGAGAAATGCACCACTGCACCACAGCATTATTTCTGGAATGCCTGTGAAAGAATCATAAAGGTCAGTTTCATGAGAGAAAGTTCACAAGCAGTACTGTATTATCGGTGTAGTTTTGCTGCTACTTACCTGCATTTCGCTAGACAAGCCTTAAAATACAAAAGCATGGGCTCTCATTTAGATTCTTAGCTGATTTTTGTCCAGGTGGAACATTTTGCTTGATTTTATTTATGTATAGTAATACTTTCTATATTGAAAATAAACTTCTGGCAAAAAGCTGCTGTGTTTGGATGAGTGTAAATAGTTATTTGGAAATCCAGAGAAACCGACTCTGAGGCATGATTCTGGTGGTTTTTCTCCATGTTTTTTTCATAGAATTCTGGTTTGTATATCTATTGACACACAACTCCTTTGTGTTTGCTTTAGTGGACTTCCGTACTACTGGAACGTGGAGACGGACTTGGTGTCCTGGCTGTCCCCCAACGACCCCGCTGCGGTCATCACTAAAGCAGTGAAGAAGCAGAGAGGTAAAGGATTGAAGGGAGAAGTTTCTCTCAATACTGGTCTTTGTATTGCCGATCCTGCAGGATCCGGTGACATGCAAACGAGCTCTGTGAGGACTTTTCATATCACCTGAGAAATATTTTTGCCACAGTAATGCAAGTCAATTTTTAATAACTTCACATCAGGGCAATGTGTACACCAGTGGGATGTTAATATATTGCAAAGTGTAACTGCATTATCTCACGCACCATTATAGTCTGTTCATCAAAAAGAAGTAATGAGCTGCTAAAATTTGACTCGGCTCTTGTTCTTAAGGGAACAGTCTTGTGTTTCTCGACTTAATATCCATTACGATACAAAGCTTAGGATGAGACATGAGAGATGAAGTGGATGAAATGCAGATATTTTCCTTAAAACTACAGAAGTACTGCAGTGAGATGGTGCTGAAATGATAAGAACTCTGGTTGAAATGCTCCTCCATTTTAAAATTTTTTTATTTATTTTTTTGCTTTCAGTGGAGATTGCAGACGACAGAGGGGACGGTCATCACGAGAAGTCGGACAGAGAGCGCGATCGTGACAAAGAGCGGGAGCGAGACCGGGACAGGGACCGAGACAGAGACCGAGATCGGGACCGTGATAGAGATGATGCGAGAGAGCGGGACAGAGAGCGAGACAGGGATAGGGACAGAGACAGGGACCGAGAACGAGACAGAGACCGGGACAGACGAATGAGAAGAGAGGAGAGTGGCCCGTACAGCAAATCAAAGAGAGGTAACAGAGCAAAACGCCTTTTAATAAATTCTAGTAGAGCAGTTAAGTGTTAAGCAAACAAAATCCTGCTAAACGGTCCATTATAACTTTTACTCAGTGGTAGGCGTTTTAGAATTCAGCTTTTCTTTTAACGTCTCATACATTTTTGTTTCCGTAAATGAACTTGTACGTTTCTTTATGCAGGTGGAAGCCGGAAGCAGGAGGAGTTGGATCCTATGGATCCCAGTGCCTACTCGGATGCACCAAGGTGACCTCCAGATTAATTTCATTTGATCTAAACACTTTTTTCTGATTATGTCTATTTAAAATATATGAAAGGTGCTGATAAACAACTGTGTGTGTGTGTGTGTGTGTGTGTGTGTGTGTGTGTGTGTGTGTGTTCAGGGGCTTGTGGTCCACTGGGCTGCCCAAGCGTAACGAGGCTAAGACGGGAGCGGACACGACGGCAGCAGGACCGCTGTTCCAGCAGAGGCCGTACCCCAGTCCTGGAGCTGTGCTTAGAGCCAACGCTGAACACACCAGACGTCTAGAGGAGGAAGACGAGGAGGATGACGACTAAGCAGGAGGAAAGCATCTACAGAGCCTTTATAACCTGAAGAAGAATAAATATGGAAAGCCTTTAAACAGTACATGCATCTAAGCTCCCTATGATGAAAATGAGTCACGTATGTCATTTCTTTCCCTAATAGTTGCTTCCTCTTGCTTTCGTAACAGCTGTCAGGAATGGATACTATCAATGTCATGATGTTGAAATTTGCCAAATACTATGACTTCCTTTGACAAGTTTTACACACCATCTCCGTCAGTGATTCTCTTCACGTGTTCCGGACACACCTCAGAGTCTAACAACCATCAGGAATCTAGTCTATAAAGGCTCTATAGGTTTTCATCCTGCCTTTAGATCCAGATGCCATGCTTTTAATGGCAACTCTTCACATGTGAGTTCAGTGTGTTTGTAAATCTAACGATGTATTATACATTTTGTAGTAAGGCAGTAACTGCGGTGCCTCTTAACTGTTGAACTACCTTTAAGATATTGATGTTAAATGGAAATGTTCAATTTCCTGGCTTGTTAAATCATTTTGATTTTTTTTTTTTTTAAATAAAAAAAAATAATGCTGGGGTTTATTCAAAAGACTTTTGCATCATGCTGTACTATGATCACTTTAAAAATGTATTTGGACTGATTTCGTTATGTGAGGAGAGAAATATAGCAACTAAAATCCTGCTGTTGAGAAATTACAAAAAAATATAAATAATTACCTTAAAAATATTGCACAGATTTAGTAAGCTTTGATGTCTCCAATCTGATTTCTTTGTTCTTCATATTGTTTTGTGCTTTTAAAATGTTTACATTGCTATGATAAATTCAGAAAGCTGTTAAAAATGGATGCTTCAATCAATGCAAGGCATTCCACTTCTCAGTTTATCAAAAAACACCCGCAAAAATACATATACTCGCTTACCACGCTTAGTACAAACACCTGCACATTTATTCAATTATCTGATCAGACAATCATGTTGCAGCAGTGCAATGCAGAAAATCATGCAGAAACAGGTCCAGAGCTTCACATCAAACATCAGAATGGGGAAAAAGTGTGATCTCAGTGACTTTGACCATGCCAGATGGGCTGGACTGAGTATTTCCCCAAACAGCGGATCTCCTGGGATTTTCACAAACGAGTCTCTCAAGTTTGCACAGAACCATCTAGTGAGCAGCAATTCTGTGGGCAGAAACGCCTTGTTGATGAGAGAGGTCAGAGAAGAACAGCCAGACAGATTCAAGATGGCTACAGTAACTCAAATAACCACTCTTTACAACCATGATGAGCAGAAAAGCATCTCAGAATGCACAACACACTGAACCATGAGGTGGATGGGATACAACAGCAGAAGCCCACATCAGCTTTCACTCCTGTCAGCCAAGTACAGGAATCTGAAGCTACAGTGGGGACAGATCCACCCAAACTGAGGATTTGATGCCACATGATTGGTTGATTGGATAATTGCATGAATGAACAGGAGTGCAGGTGTTCCTGTTACAGTGTCTGGAATACTGAGATGTTTTGTCACTCTTACATATCCAACACTTCACCTTGATGACCAATAAAAGATTTTTATTATATATATATATAAAAAAAAAAAAAACATCTTATATGGCAGTGATTATGGCACATTTACAAAAATCTCAAATCTACTACAGTCTGTTTTCAGCATCTTGACGAGGTGAGATCATCATTAGGTACAGATGACAGTGAAGAACATTCCAAACTGCACCCCAAATAGTCCTGTTTCTGATCAGAGATGTTTTCTGCAGTCTCTCCAGCCACCAGGATGCAGCTTTAAGAACATTAAGCAACCATAAGTGAAAACCCAGACTGAAGAAAAGCCACGAGGAGGGGGCAACAGTGTTCACATGATCCATGTGATGTAGCATGTCTGAGTGAATAAATCTAGTTGTGGACAGTCTAGTCGTCTCCGGGTGCGAGCGGAGACAGTCATCTTGGTCACTGCAGGGTATCTGGTTGTTTGTGTGAGGTGTATGTCAGTGATCTCCTCCCACGTAATGGCAGATGGAGTCGTAGTCCAGAGTGAAGACCTTCTCCTCGTAGCGCTCCAGCTGCACCATGGCCCTACACTTCTCTTTATCACGCTTTAGAATGTGTCCCACCTTCATGCACGCACACAAAATTGCATTATTTTTACTCACACCTAAATATATTTTTATTTCTTACAGTAACATTTGTTGATACACACCAGTGTGATGACATATCCTTTATTATTATTACTATTATTAAGACTTATTAACTGCTACTTCAATAGTAATTTAATACCTAATTTGCAGTGATGATTCAGCAAAGGCCACA